CTGTCCCTTTGCAAATTAGGAACCATTCTGCTTCTCCATGTTCTGTTCTGACAGTAGCTTGTTGTCCTGGGTACAGATTCTTCATCAGGACTATCAGATGTGCTGGCACTCCCATGTCTTTAAGGGCATTCAGAATTCTCAGGTCAAGTAGCCAAAAGTATTGAGAACAGAGAGCTGGAAGATGCATACATGTTTTGTATCAAATGTTCCTTGGTACATGTATATTTTAAAAAATCAGGAAAATTCCAGGGAAGGCAATGCATAATAATAGGCAGAAACATAGAAAATTCTCATCAATGCATTCTATACAGAGCTACTTTACAAAAAACTGCTGCATCTTAGAACTTGGAGAGCTGATTCTGGAAGCATATGATGTGGCTTCATCAAGATCATCTACTTACTGACATCCTGAGAGCAATTCAGAATTATTGGTTGTTGTTGTTGTTCATTTCCAAAGGCTTCATTTAGCTTGAAGTTTATCTATTGAATAAAACAATCTACCACAATCTGGTGCCCTCCATATATTCTACAATTCTAATAATCCCCCAGTCAGTATAGTTGGCTGCAGGGTTGTGGGAGGTGTCATTCAACACATGTGGGAAGCTGACTTGAGTCCCAGGCTCAGAGAAAGAGGATGATTGAAATAAAGAGATGTCTGCCTGTCTTTTTAAATTGAATTAATACATTCAATACACATGGGGTGAACTGAACCTGAGAAGTATGTGTTATATTAATGCATTATATTAATTATGCTCACTTACTTGAATAAGGATTGTGAAACATTGGTGAATACAAATGGATTTGCTCCTTGCTTCTTTAACACCTTGACTAACACACTGTCCTCTTCTTGCAGAACATTGAGGGACTGAGTAAAGCCACATGTTGATAAGTGGCCCTAGAAGTAAAGGAAGCCTGGTAAACACCTGGAATTCCAACCTCCTGCTCCCAAAATAGTGAGGAAAAGTTAATGGACAGCTAAAATAAAATTGTGAATTAATTCTGTTTTATAAGAACTGATGTGACTTGGGCCTTAGCCACTGGGCAGATGAGTATTACAGTTCTTGTTAGTATCAAGGCAAATGTTCAGGTGTCCAGTGATATAGAAAGGCTTATTTTGTATTAGTGACTTTGCTAGATACTTTGTTTGCATTGGGATGGCAGTTTTTGATACTGGCAAAAGATATGGAAGCTATGAAGAACTGAGGGAATAAAATTTCTCTTTTAGCAGCCTGTTTTACAGCTCTCATAACTAATGTGGGTAGAGAAATGGGTCATACTTGAACACTTCAATTTTCTTTGTTTGCTCCTGCACTATATAACCCTTGGGAGTCCATCAGCCTGACCTGGGGGTGGGGTATATTCCAGCCAAGGGATTCCTAACCAGCCATGGGGAATCCTGCTATCCAAGGATAGTCTGGGGAATTATTGGTTGTTATTGTTGGGGGAAATAAATTGTTTAGGGCCCAGTTCAACCACTGGCCATGAGGGGATACTGGAACACATCAGCAAAAGGACTGGAATACTTCTCAGCTGTATACCATCTGTTCCATTATTTACCACTAATAAAGCTTATCTAATAGCACTAATGTGTGTAACAGTGTTTAGTACCAAACAAAGTTTTAGGGAGGCTGGAACTACAGCCAGTTCAAGCACAGATCAACAGCTGCCAAGTAACATCTATTGCTTTCCTCTGCCCTTCCTTAAAAGTGCGTTTAGCATCCCTTTATGTATATGGATTGGAGCATCTGCAGATGGCCCCACTCCATTCTCCCCAATAGCAGTGCATGCATGCAGCCATGCCAATGTGGCTACACATGTGGCATGGCACCATTGAAAACAAAGGGACTTCTGTTTCTGCAGTTTCTGGCATCAGAGGGGTGGGGGTGGGGGTGGGTCTGGAATGGGCTGACTGTATGTTTAAGATTTATGCCATGTCATACCATGCATACTTTTGTTTTATTTATTTTATATTTATTTATTATACCTCTACACTAAGAGAAATTGACACATTGCCCACTGTCCTGTTTTCTTAATATTAGCATACTTCTAATTGCAATACAGGATGAGTATCCCTTATCTGAAATGCTTGGGCCCAGAAGTGTTTTGGATTTCTTTTCTTTTTTCTCTTTTCCTTTTTTTTGTGAGATTTTGGAATATTTGCATATACATAATGAGATATCTTGGAGATGAGACCCAAGTTCTAGAACAACCAGGCTAAGAAGTGGTCCCAAGGGAGCAGTGGCAGTGGCAACAGCAAACCCCAGCCACCCGTGGATATTCTTCGAGCACTCCTGCCTCAAGGGAACCCACCAGCTGCCTCCTTCCATCTTACAAACAAATGAGTAGGATTAGTGCAACCACCACCTTGAAAGTGGAAACAGGCAGCTGGGGGGCTCCCAAGAGTCAGGGGAGCCCAAAGAATGTCCATCTGGTGGCCGGGGCTTGCCAGGGCCACCTCTGTTGTTGCACAGCCTATGTCATTTTATATATAAGGATTTCAGCATCTGCAACTCATCACATGAAGTCATGTGTGGAATTTTTCACCTGTGGTATCATGTCATCTTTCAAATAATTTCAGATTTTAAAGCATATCAGATTTTGGATTTTTGGATTAGGGATGCTCAACCAGCTGAAAATTCAATAGATTTTTGTAGTGTTGAGTTCGTAAATTGTACCAACAATAATGCACTCCAAATTTGCTCCAGAGTTATCTTGCCTTAGGAAATACAACTGTGTAAGAGAACTATAGCACATGCACAACTGCATACTGCATTGCCCTTAAATGCCCCAGCTTGAGCAGATCAGCACTTGACATCTGCCCCCAGTTCTAGGCTATCACTGTAGCTCATAGATATGGAATTACCTTGTATCCAATGTGGTCCTTGATACTGACAGGGATGCCATATAGTAAGCCCTTTTGTGTCCGCTCTTTCAGTTCCTGGAGATGTTGCACACATTCTGGAATAAAATGGCGCACACAGTTCACGTCCTGGGTGACTGTTAAAGCCTTTTCCATGAAAAGGAAATGAAGAAGAAAAATCATCATTGCCATCATCATCATCATCATCTAGCAACAAAACTATGTATGTCTTTGATATACTGTTTTGTCTTCTGCAGAAGCCTGTATCCAAGGTAGTTTTCTTGCCTGTAACAACTGCCTGTATTGTGACTCCTAGAATCTACCTTCTTTCTTTTATTGCCTACCTATAGTAATGTCAGCCAGCATGATGTAGTGGCTTGAATGATGGACTATGACTCTGGAGATCAAGGTTTGAATCGCTGTTCAACCATGAAAATCCACTGGGTGCTCTTGGGCAAGTCACTCTCTCTCAGCCTCAGAGGATGGCAATGGCAAACCCCCTCTGAAGAAACTTGCCAAGAAAAACCCATAATAGGTCACCATAAGTCAGAAATGACTTGAAGGCAA